CTACACAACCACACACCCTTCCCTCCCCTCACACCCACACACTGTGCCCTCCCCTCACGCCCACACACCATGTCCCCCCCCCACCCCGGCCCCCCCCTTTCCTTCCGTACCAGCCCCCCCCCCCCCCCGTGCTGCCCCCCTCCCCCCCTACACCGTGCCCAACCCCCCACACTGCGAAGTGTTTGTGGCGGCCTGCCCCTCCCTTTGAGCTGTTTGTTGAGGAGGCTCTGACCTGGAGCACGGTGGATCCTATCACACAACTGAGGGGGTTCCCTCCGAATGTGTTGAAGGCCTTTGCCTCTGACATTGAAGCAGCGATCTCTGAAATACACAACGTGTGAACGTGAGAGGTGATCCACTTTGGGCAGACGAATAGAGACAGAAACTACTTTCTAAATGAGGACAAGCTTTGGAAATCTGAAGTACGAAGGGACTTGGGAGTCCTAGTTTTGGATTCCTTAACATCAACATGTAGGTTCAGTTGGCAGTTAGGAAGGCAAATATGATGTTAGCATTCATTTACAGAGGGCGAGAGTACAAAAGCAGAGATGTACTGCTAAGGCTGTATGAGGCTCTGGTCAGACTGCATTTGGAATATTATGAGCATTTTTGGACCCTGTATCTAAGGAAGAATGTGCTGTTACTGGACGGGGTCCAGAGGAGCTTTCCATGAATGATCCCAGGGATGAAGGGCTTATCTAACACTATTTCTCTCGAGAGGGTGATGGGACTTAATTCTTCCCCCATGTCCTTTAGTATTATGGGATGTTTGAAGTGTCTCCTGAAGAAGGAGTGAGGCTCTGAAAGCTTGTGATTTCACATAAACCTGTTGGACTATAATGTGGTGCTGTGTGATTTCTGATCTTGTTCACCCCAGTCCAACACTGGCACCTCCACATCACAATAAAAACGGAAACAAAATACATGCATAGCTGCACTGCCATGTCCTTGTTCCCCATAAACACCTCTCCCGATTCATTCTTTTGAGGGGCCTACGTTCACTTTGGCCTCTTTATATATTTAACGAAGACGAAACAAGTAGCCAGTTGGAGTGGAACAAACCAGTGGGTGAATGGAGGATGGAGAACTTTCCAATTAAACCCCAGAGAGGGGAGATGGAAGGGCAGCTCAGTACCTGGTGATGTACCCCCTGTGGTCTGTGGGATCTCTTTGATGCTCCTGACAGTCCGAACAAGCACATCTGCAGGAAGTGCTGTCGATTTGATCGGCTTGAGCACTGGTTTTGGAGCTGAAGGGTCGGCCGGTAGTCCTGGTGTGTGTCCGTGGGGCTGGGTATGATGTGGATGGCTTGTTTTTTAAATATGGGTCACCCTGCGCCTTCAGGAAGGGCAGTCAGAAGGGGACGGGGAGGGAGGGTGACCATCAGTCAGAAGGGGACTGGGAGGGAGGGTGACCATCAGTCAGAAGAAGGGTAGCTGCAGGGGACACCTCATTCAGGAGCAGATTTTAGTGTTGTAGAACAGAGTGATTGAGGGTTTCTCTGGGGAGTGCAGCCACACCAGGGAGTAAAAAGAGGGGAGAACGCGAATGATGGGAGGAACAGATCAACAGCTTCAAAGTGACAGCAACAGACAATGAACTCAAAGACTCGAGTTCAAATCCTGAAGAAGGCAGCATTTCAATTTAAAATAAACCTCTGGAATTAAGAGTTTAGCGATGACCATGAAACCATTCCTAGTTTTCGGGATGAAGCTGTCTGCTTCACTAATGTCCCCTCAGGAAGGAAACCTGCCATCTTTACCTGGTCCATCATTCTGGGTTCAGTCTGCTCAACCCCCTGACCTTTGAACTCACCGGGTGTGGTAACCACGGCGCCCATGGGGAAGCCATTGCCGATTCCCTTTGCCATGGTGACGATATCTGGTTTCACTCCGTGCGTCTGGAACCCCCAGTAATGGCTTCCCAAACGGCCAAATCCGGTTTGAACCTGTCAGACATATCATGTGGGGTCATGGGTCAAGTTGAAATCACTCTCGCTGGAATCTGACCAATCAGACAAGCCCATGTTAACCTTTCAGATCCCCCACCCCCAAACATGTCAGGACAGGCCCATGGTGGGCCAAGGTCTCACTCTGATGACCTGCTACCATCCCCTCCCTCCTACTACTACACCCTTCCCCGTTACTCCTCTCCTCGGATATAACTCCAAACTGGCTGGCATCCCATCACCAGGTCACCCTTCATTTACACATGACGAGCCCTTGACACTGATCCTGCTCCCTCAGAGCCAGCTCTCAGAGTGAACAGTATCTCTGACACTCCTGTTTATATCTGTCAGCCAGGGCTCCCTGATTGGACCAGATTAACAGCCCCAATCAGAGAACTCATATTCTATGAGGTCCAAAGATAGTAGGAACTGCAGATGCTGGAGAATCTGAGACAACAAGGTGTAGAGCTGGATGAACACAGCAGGCCAAGCAGCATCATAGGAGCAGAGAGGCTGACATTTCGGGCCTAGACCCTTCATCAGAAAAAGCCTCTAGGCCCAAAACGTCAGCCTCTCTGCTCCTATGATGCTGCTTGGCCTGCTGTGTTCATCCAGCCCTGCACCTTCTATGAGGTCCACCTGGCTGACCTCATTACCTTCCCTATATCCCTCCCTTCCCCAACCCATTCTCCTGCCCTTTCCTTCCAGACTCTATCCTATCTTGTCTGCCCCTTCCCCCAGTTCTCACCCTTTCACTGTCCACAAACAGCCATCGACTCAGGATGAATAGTTAATTTTAAATCAGCCACAGATCAAAGTTGATAAATGATTGAAGATCTGGAGTAGAGTCAGGAGTGAGGCTGTAGATTAGCCACACTGACTGACTGGCTAGACTGAAATGGGCTGAATGGCCTCCTCCTGCTCTGGTATTGTACAAAGACAGGGTTCATCTGTTGGGATGAATGAGTTCACAATCTTTGTAAAGCCTTAAAGAGAAGTGAATGGAAAGGATGACACATTTTTATTTAGGAAAACATTGACTGTACCAAATGATTAAAGAGACACTAGTGACCAAACACTGTTCTCTTGTAGTTCACTGAGTCTTGAAACAATAAAAAAAAACTGTGCTTTTTGCAATCAAACTCTCCTTTTCACAAGAGTTCTTTTTGTTCTAACATCCTCACCACAATAAAATTCACAAAAAGAGAGCAATAACCAACTACCCTTTTAAATGTAGTGGTGGAACGCAAGGACAACAGAGAGCTCCAGACTTGCGTATACAGAAAGAGCACCCATACAGACCAGGTACTCAATTACACCAGCAACCAACCTAACATCCATAAATGGAGCTGCATCAGGACATTATTCAAACGAGCCACAACACACTGCAGCAACCTGGAACTGCGCAAAGCAGAACAGGAGCACTTATACAGAGTTTTTAAAAGGAATGGATACCCAAAAAGCATAATGTGCTGTTACCTCCGCAACATGCCACAACGAGATGTCACAACACAGCCAGACACACTAGTCACCCTACCCTACATCAGGGACATATCAGAGATGACCACAAGACTACTCCTACCCCTAGGTATTAGGGTAGCCCATAAACCAACAACCACCCTGTGACAGCTAAGTTTGAACGTAAAGGATCCCATTCCCACAACCAACAAAACCAATGTAATATACAAAATACCATGCAAGGACTGTGAGAAACGTTACATAGGCCAAACTGGAAGAAAACTGACAATAAGGATACACGAACACCAATTAGCCACTAACAGATATGACCAATTCTTACTGATCTCCATACACACATACAAAGAAGGACACGAATTTGACTGGGACAACACATCCATAATAGCACGAGCCAAACAGAGACATGCCAGGGGATTCCTGGAGGCCTGGTGTTCCGACCAGAACTCCATCAACAAACACACTGAACTGGACCCAATATACAAACCACTGAGAAACAGAACTGGAAGTAATACTAACCACCCCAGCAAACAGAGCCATATAAATAACACGTGGGACAGAACACCGGAGGCGCACTGACGATGTTACTGAGCAGGGTGACGAAACACTTGCAACCAAACCCACCGGCTCAGTGAGCACGTCTACAGCCTTATCCACAATCCAAGCTACAAATCTTCTCAAACTTTAAACTGAAGGTTATCCTTGGAATTCCACCCTATCGCTCCAAGCCATGTCAATCTTCCAGCCTCCTCTAACACTTAGGAAATGTGCCTTCAATAGTTAACACTTTCTGTACGTAAGGTTCCGGCCAAGGTAATTCTATACTTTGTTTTTGTAATGCCACTGGTTGTAGACTACACCAGACAAAACAGCAACTGCCTTCTCTGAGATGTTTCTAGGATTATTGGGAATAATGCAACCTGATCTCAATATTATTTCCTTTTCACATCTGAAACACATTAGCTTATATCAACTAGGGTGGCACGGTGGCTCAGTGGTTAGCACTGCTGCCTCACAGCATCGGGGACCCGGGTTCAATTTCCACCCTCGGGTGACTGTCTGTGTGGAATTTGCACGTTCTCCCTGTGTCTGCGTGGGTTTCCTCCCACAGTCCAAAGATGTGTAGGCTAGGTAGATTAGCCACATGAAATGCTGGGTTTCAGGGATAGGATAGGAAGGATGGGTCTAGGTGGAATGCTCTTTGGAGGATTGGTGTGACTTGATGGGCTGAATAGCCAGTTTCCACACTGTGGGAATTCTATAATGATACGTGTTAATATTTTGTCTTTGATCTTATCAATAAAAAGGATTATTTAACCCTTTAAAAGCCTTCATCAGGACTGGGGAGGGGTGTAAACCCGAAACGTCAGCTTTCCTGTTCCTCTGATGCTGACTGGCCTGCTGTGTTCATCCAGCTCTACACCTTGTTACCTCGGATTCTCCAGCATCGGCAGTTCTTACTATCTCTGAGTGAATGAAAAACTGTGGCTGACAAAGGGAATGCAGAACTGTATACAGTTAAACTAAAACGCCAGAAATAGCAGTAAATCTGAGGAAAGGGAGGTTTTAGAATATGTCAAAGGAGAACTAAGAAACTGTTAAGGAAAAGGAGAGTAAGATATCAATGCAGTTTAGCAATTAAGAATGGACTGTGAAAGCTTCTATAGGTTCATAGAAAGGAAAGGTTTGGCTTAAATGAATATGGGCTCATTACAGGAAGTGTCTGGAGCATTTGTAATAGCAAATAGAAAAAAGTCGGAGAAGCCAAATGATTACTTTGTCTATTTTCATGGAGGAAGATGCAATAAATCTCCCGAACCAGGGATCCAAGTAGCTAGGGAGAGTGAGGAATTGAAGGAAATTGATTTTAGTAAGATGATTGTACTGGAGAAATTAATGGGCTGAAAGTTGATAATTCCCCTGGACCTGATGGACTACATGCCAGAATATTGATGGTGACGATTAAAGGATAGTCGATATTTTGGTGATTACCTTCGAAAATTCTACAGATTTTGGAATGATTCTTCAGGATTGAAAGATTGTAAATGTCATCCATTATTTCAGAAGGGGGCGAGAGAGAGAGAACCGGAAACTACTGACCTGTTAATCTTCCATCAGGAGTAAGGAAAATGTGAGCATCTATGGATACCTGGTTTATAATGATCCGATTGGTCATGGTCAGCATCGAATTGGGAATGGGAAATCATGTTTGACTAATTTATTAGAGGTTTTTGAGGATGTTAATAAAAATATTGATAAAGAAGAGCCAATGGATGGTGTGTGTTTGGATATTCGGAAGGATTTTGATAAACTCTCCCACAGGGAGCTGGATAGAAACATTAGAACACATGATATAGGAGGTAATGTACTAGCATGGATGAATGATTGGCTAACAGACAGTAAACAGAGAGGAGGAATAAATGGGTCATTTCTCACACTGGAAGACTGACCAGTGAGGCACCACAGAATCAGTACCTGGACCACAACTATTCACTATGTATTTGTAACATGTCGATGGAGGTTGGAATTGTTACAAGGTTGGGTAGATGTTTGTACAATGATAGGGGGGAGTTTATTTACTGTTAGAGTTAGATAAATAAATTGTTACTTGTTGATTATTGAGTGAGTGAAAGGATTTCATTTCATTTAACCCCCTCCTTTATGACGGACTGGTGGGGAGATGTGGAAGTTCGGTGAGAGGCAGGTTATACCACTTTTCACATGCCCTTTAACAGACCATGCGGCAAGGTGAACTTCCCTGGGTGTTTCAGTTTTAGTTATTGGGGGCTCGACCTCCCCTTTATAACAGGAATCAATTGTATTATTCCACATTTGCAGATGATATAAAGCTAAGTGGAAATGTGTGTTGTGAGGAAGATATAAAGTGGCTTCAGGAGTCGACAGGCTTAGTAGGTGGACAATAACATGGCAGATGGAATATGACATGGGAAAATGTGAGGTCGCCCACTTTGGTAGAAGAAACAGATGTGCAGAGTATTTCTGAGATGGTGAGATTGGAAAGTGGAGATGTAGAAAGGGACGTAGGCGTCCTTGTCGATACGTCACTGAAGGCCAACGTGCAGGTGCAGCAAGCCATTAGGAAGGCTTGTGGAATGTTAGCTTTTATAACTGAAGGGTTTGAGTTTAGGAATAGTGAAGTCTTGCTTCATTTGTATAGGAGTTTAGTTAGACTGCACCTGGTGTACTGTGTGCTGGATTTGGGCTCCTTCTCTCAGGAAGGATACTGTTGCCACAGAGGGTGTACAGTGAAGGTTCTCCAGACTTGTTCTCAGGATGGTGTGATGTTCCTATGGAGAGAGATTGGGATAAACCAGGCGCTGTATTCTTAGAGTTCCCAAGAGTGAGAGGTGATCTCATTGAAACTTAGAAAATGCACTCAATGGATAGACAGGGTAGATGCAGTGAAGATGTTCCCCCTGATTGAGGAGTCTAGAATTGGAGCACAATTTAAACACAAGGGGGATAACACTGTTTAGGTCTGAGATGAGGAGAAACATTTTTACTCAGAGGGCTGTGAGCCTATGCAATTCTTCCTTTCAGAGAGAGCTGTAGAAACTCAGTCTTTGAGTGTGTTTAGAACATAGAACATAGAACATAGAACAGTACAGCACAGTACAGGCCCTTCGGCCCACAATGTTGTGCCGAACTTTTACCCTAAACCTAAGGTCTATCTAACCTCCACCCCTACCTTATACTATCATTCATATGCCTATCTAATAGCCGCTTAAATGCCCCTAATGAGGCCGACTCCACTACCCTCTCCGGCAATGCATTCCACGCCCCTACCACTCTCTGAGTAAAGAACCTACCTCTGACGTCTCCCCTATATATACCTCCACTCACTTTAAAACTATGCCCCCTTGTAATAGCTACCTCCACCTGAGGAAAAAAAGTCTCTGGCTGTCCACTCTATCTATACCTCTGATCATTTTGTACACCTCTATCAAGTCACCTCTCATCCTTCGTCATTCTAAAGAGAAAAGCCCTAGCTCTCTCAACCTTTCCTCGTAAGACCTTCCCTCCATTCCAGGCAACATCCTGGTAAATCTCCTCTGCACCTTTTCCAATGCTTCCACATCCTTCCTGTAATGAGGCGACCAGAACTGGACACAATACTCCAGGTGTGGCCGAACCAGGCTTTTGTATAGCTGGAGCATAACTTCACGGCTCTTGAACTCAATCCCTCTATTAATGAAAGCTAACACACCTTGCGCCTTCTTAACAACTCTATCCACCTGGGAGCAGCTTTCAGGGAACTGTGAACATGAACCCCAATATCCCTCTGCTCCTCCACACTGCCAAGAATCTTTCTGTTAACCCTGTATTCTGCTTTCAAGTTTGTCCTTCCAAAATGAATCACCTCACACTTTTCAGGGTTAAACTCCATCTGCCACTTCTCAGCCCAGCTCTGCATCCTATCAATGTCCCTTTATAACCTAGAACAGCCCTCCGCACTGTCCACAATGCGACCCACCTTCGTATCGTCCGCGAACTTGCTAATCCACCCTTCCACTCCTTCATCCAAATCATTCACAAAAATCACAAATAGAAGAGGACCCAGAACAGATTGTTCTGGTACAGCACTTGTAACTGAGCACCATGTTGAATATTTTCTGTCCACTACCACCCTTTGTCTTCTAAGGGTCAGCCAATTCTGAATCCAATCTGCCACATTTCCCCCTATCCCATGCCTCCTTACTTTCTGCATGAGCCTACCATGGGGAACCTTATCAAATGCCTTACTTAAATCCATGTATACCACATCCACTGCTCTACCTTCATCCACGTGTTTGGTCACCTCTTCAAAGAATTCAGTAAGCTTTGTGAGGCATGATCTACCCCTCACAAATCCATGCTGACTATCACGAATCAAACTGTGCCTTTCCTCGTGATCATAAATCCTATCTCTCAGAGCCCTTTCCAATAAGTTGCCCACCACTGACGTAAGACTAACTGGCCTGTAATTTCCAGGGTTATCCCGATTCCCTTTTTGAACAAGGGAATGACGTTTGCCTCTCTCCAATCTTCCGGCACTATACTGTGGACAGTGAGGATGAAAAGATCATCGCCAAAGGCCCTGCGATCTCTTCCCTCATTTCCCATAGAATCCTTGGATAAATCCCATCAGGCCCGGGGGACTTATCTATCTTCAACATCCTCAAAATTCCTAGCACATCTTCCTTACTGACATCCACCTCCTCTCGCCTACCAGCCTGTTTCACACTGTCCTTCTCTACAATTAGGTCCCTCTCAGTTGTGAATAACGAAGAAAAGTATTCATTAAGGTCCTCTCCTATTTCTTTAGGCTCCATGCACAAATTCCCTTTACAATCCTTGATCGGCCCTACCCTTTCTCTGGTCATTCTCTTATTCCTCACGTATGTGTAAGAAGCCTTGGAGTTTTCCTTGATCCTATCTGCCAAGGTTTTCTGATGTCCCCTTATAGCTCTCCTAAGCCCTTTCTTCAGCTCCTTCCTGGATAACTTGTATTGCTCCAGAGCCTTTTCCGTTCCTTGTTTCCTAAACCTTATGTAAGCATCCTTCTTCCTCTTAACCAGTCGTTCGACCTCTCTTGAGAACCAAGGCTCCCTCACTCTACCGCATCTTCCCTGCCTGCTAGGGACAAAAATATCGAGCACACGCAATATGCATTCCTTAAACAATCTCCACATTTCTATAGTGCTCTTCCCTGACAGCATCTGTTCCCATTTTATGTTACCCAGTTCTTCCCTAACAGAATTATAATTACCATTCCCCCAATTATAAACCTTACCCTGCTGTATGTACCTATCCTTTTCCATGACTATTGTAAAAGTAACAGAGTTATGAAAATGCTCTCCTACCAACAGATCTAACACTTGGCCTGGTTCATTGCCAAGCACCAAATCCAAAGTGGCCTCTCTTCTAGGGTAGAGCTTGTTACATTTCTGATTATTGGTGGGGTACAGGAGTATGGGGATGGGGTGGCTAACAGACAATGAAGTGTTTGATTGGCTGTGATCATATTGAATGTTGGAATAGGTTTGAATGGCTGAGTGATTTCCTCCTGAAGCTGTGTTCCATTTTCCTAAATTCCAGTAGATGGAGGTCTAACCTGTTCAACCTTCCTCATTAGATTCATGCCTATGTTTCTTATGTTCCCGTTTTCCTGTGTGTTCACATGTTCCCAAGTTCCTGTATCCCCATGTTCCTGTGTGTTCCCATGTTCTGAGTTCCTGTGTCGCCATGTTCCTGTGTGTTCCCATGTTTTTCCGTGTTCTAATCTGCCTGTTGAAGCAACAGGTGAACTGTCAGGCATATTCCAGCAGTGTCACATGGCCACAGAACACAGAACAGGCCATTCAACCCACCATGTCTGTGCCAACCACGATGCCATTCTAAACTAATCCCATCTGCCTGCCCATGGTCAATGTCCCTCTACTCCTTGTTCATGTGTCTGTCTAAATGCCCCTTAAACATTGCTCTTGTATCTGTTTCTAGCACCTTCCCCGGCAGCATTTTCCAGGCACCTACCCACCCCCTGTGCACAAACCTTTCCCTCAAACATCTCCTTTAAACATTCCCCTCACAGCCATGACACTTTGACCTGAACTTTAATGAATGTTTAAACAGTGTCTAACATCCTGAAGCACTTGAACGGGAGAGACCTCCTGACAGATATCGTCATGTGGGAATGATGATAGAGGCTGCAGTAAATCCAGCTCCTCCTGCAGGATTTTTCCGGGATGTGACAGGGGAGATGTGGAGAGGGTGTTTCCCGTTATGGGAGAGTCTAGGACCACGGGGCATCATTTTGGAGTGAGAAGTTACCCACTTAAGGCAGGGTTGAGGAGGAATGTCTTCTCTCAGAGGGGAGTGAATCTGTGGAATTCTTTACCACAGAGGGCTGTCGGGGCTGGGTCATTAAATATATTCAAGGCTGAGATAGACGGGTTTTTAATCAGTAACGGAACCAAGGGCAATGGGGAAAAGGCAGGAAAATGGAATTGAAGATCCTACATCTTGTGTTCTTTGGATGAGAAACCGTCTACATCATTCTTCACTTCTTGCGAAATTGACAGTGAAGCCTTTCAAATGATCATCTAGAGAATTCCCAATTCAGAAGATTTCAGCCAGCATCTCAGTAATATCCAAAGAGAGACACCTCTTCAATAATCTCAAAATAATGCCCACTGAAAACATACAAAATGGCCCTGTGTCTCCCACCTCATCAGAAATGTATAATCCTCCTCGTTCTCGGATAATCTCAGCAGCCTCCTTCAGAAACCCTTTCGGGTATTGGATCACTCCATTAATGCCCTGCAGAAATACAGAATCACACAACAGTCCAGGCCATTCAGCCCAAAGTGTTCATACTAGCCCATGAAGTGAGTATCATTTCTATCAGAATCAGTTTCTATTACAATCCAATCCGATCAGAATAAGTTGGTGGGATGTGGGCAAGCAGGGCCGAGCACCAGAGTCTGAGCTTGCGTCTCTCTGTCTCTCTGTCTCTCTGTCTCCTTCAGGGGGAGCAGCTGGTCAGTGGGTAATCTCAATTCTATGCCTATCATGTAAAATATTCCAGGAAATAGTGTTAAGGGTTAATAATAAAATGTACTAAAACAGGCAACAGATAGTTGAGCAAATTATTAACGTAGTTAATTAAACTAAGTTACAACCGGCAGGACAGGTGATGTGTTGTGGCTGCAGTATGTGAGCTCAGTGTGACTTGGACAAACACATCCCTGTCACCACAGTCCAGAGCTGGCACTGTACGGTCAGGGGCATTGACATTGTCCTCAGCAACCAAGGGCATGGGAAGCTCCTTTTATTCACTTGTGGGATGTGGATGTTACTGGTTAGACCAGCATTTATCACTGAGGGGGTGGGGGTGGGCTGCCTTCTTGAACCGCTCCAGTCTCCACCTGCTGTCGGTTGACCCACAATGCCCTCAGGGAGGGAATTCCAGGATTGTGACCCAGCGACAGTGAAGGAACGGTGATATATTTCCAAATTAGGATGGTGAGTGGCTTGGAG